AAAACAACATGCACATGATAAGAATATTAAGTCATTGCTGACTGTTGAATATTATGTTACAAACATCAATATTAGGGAATTAAGAAGATATATGTGTCTGTTTAGATTGCATAAACTGCCGTTGCGTTGTAATTTCAGATGTAAAGAAGCTTTTTAAGCTATAACTGTTAACCGACTTTGTAGGATGTGTCATACTAATAGCATTGAAAATGAACACCATTTCATATTTGATTGCGAGGCATATGTATTGTTGAGAAATAAATACATACTGAAGTGGCATATTTCATAACATATTTGTAAATTTCATAAATTACTGACTTCCAATGATGTGCCAATCCTACAAATGTGCTACGTTCGTTAAAGAAGCTCTGAAATGTAAATCTGCACTTGGTAGTAAGTATAGTGTGTCATCTACCGCCTAACTGCCATTTATACACGATATTGTTATATCAACTGTGTACATGGGCCGATGGCTTACAAAACAGAAAATAAACTTACTTGTACATTTTGTAACCTGGAATTCACACGGGACCGCATCCACAAGAGAGCAACCCCCTTCATCACGTACATCGGTAAGTGTGTACATTGTGATGCATGGAAGCATAGCCTATGGTATAACTTAGAGAAAAAAACACACAACTAGTTAATATTTAACTTCATTGAAATTCAAACAAACATCAATGATTCATTCCAAAATTATGTACTGAGATATATTTATTGAAATAAAATTATGCGCGGATCACTTCTTACAACAACATGCCCCCTGCTGATGAACAGGGGCGTTCGGGCGGAAAATATAGTAATACTTTAGATGTGTGACACGTTATGGGAAATAAGCAATGCGTACGATAATGCACAAGTTTGAAGCAGGATCAGAAATAAGAACCAAATAACCTATTGGTTCCCTCACGTTTTCTTCACACAAATGCAGGTGATGTACATCATGAACCACGTTAGTTGAACCTAAAAACTACACTGAAGAACCAAGGACTATATTTTTTAGATTTTTTTTAAAACTCATTCATTCACCAAGGACAGTAAATGTACGTACGGCATTAGGGGAAACTATGAACCCAAGCTGTGGTGTGTATTCAGTAAGGTTCTTCGTCGAGATCCGTTACCTGAGAGTACCTGTGGTTCTCTACCTTCGCTCATTCCCTCTTCCACATTGTGCAGTTCATTCTTATAATCCCAAACAATATGGGTACGCGACATTTCAAACGATGGGCGTGTCTACATGAAAATATATCTCAAACTCAAATCCCATTTCACAGCCTTTCTTAAAGATTCCTAATCTCACAGCCTTTCTCAAAGATTCCCAATCTCACAGCCTTTCTTAAAGACTCCCAATCTCACAGCCTTTCTTAAAGATTCCCCATCTCTCCTTTCATTCTGTTTATCACCTGTTTGAGTCAAAATTGAAAACTCATGTTAGATATAGAACGTCAACGATAGGGAATCTCGATTATCCGCCGAAACAGAATCCATTGGGCATAAAAAGCCAAATAGAGGTGGAAATGAATGGATCACTGGAAAACAGTGACGACACCAGGTTTTCATGTCCTGCTCTACCGGTAGAACTCACAATTTCCAAAAAAAGTGTTTGTTTGTTGCCTGACGCAGCACAACACTACTTCTTATTTATATTTATTTTTCAATATTTTAAAATCTTAAACAGCAAGGTGGTCTTGAACAACATATTTTTTATCGTTGAGTAAGAGTATCTCCAGATTAGTTACACCCTTATTTGAGAGTGAAATGAGCATTGCCAATTATTCTTTTCTGAAATGGACATACAATTACGAAATGGAATTTATAAAGCATTGTTAAGATTTATAAACTCTGACAAAAGTATTCATTTAACATTGGGATTCCATCCGTGAAATTACAGCCGCAGGGAAAATAGCCTTCTTCTTACACTGAACGTAAGATGTCAGATATTCAAAGGTTTACACTCAGTCACTGTGGTGTTAATGCTGTAAATGATTTCATTGTGAATATTGTAGCCCGTTTCACGTCTTAAAGTACACAGTTGACGAAACATGGGTGAATTAATATTATTTACAGATTAAAATAAAAAATGCAGCAAAGAGGGTTTGGGTGATCCTGGCAGAGTCAGGCTGGTTAGGCTCAGCAACAGCTCAGGGCCCTTGCAACCTCTACACGCAGCTGGACAGTACATAAATGTGTGTCAAATAAGCTAAGTGCAATATCAAATTTGCCCAGACTCATTTTTTCAAGGAGTGGCTGTCTGAACGACCACTGGTTCGACTCTATGCGCAGTGTGTTGAGAGGATCAGCAACCCTGCAGAGTCATTCGCTTGGATAAAATCGGCTGAAACAAGAGGCTTTCTGTTTGCTGCTCAGGACCAGTCACTTCCCGTCGTGTCCGACAGTGTTTTAGTTATCTTCCCAAAAGGTTCTATTTAATTACATGGTTGCAGGTCCTTATTTTATAGGTCGGCAATATCTCGGCTATATAACTGCGACCTGTAATATTATGAGCAAAGATCCACAGGGCACGATGACACGCCATCAACCATGTGACCGAGCCTGACAACTTAATCCATTAAATCTCATCTTAATGCTGCTGATAGCTTTACCAATTGAGACCATGTTTAATAGCAATGTCACCTTCCTTAATTCACGTGGTAGATAGAAAGATATATTTATTATAACAATTCGGCCGTGTGGTCGACAGTGCAAAGAAGAATTATTTTAACAAGTGGTCAGTGAGTTCAGTCCATGGTTGTTAAACTCATTGCGCGGATATACATTAGAAGAACCGATACCATGCTCCATTTTAAAAGTTTACATACTAATTAGTTATAATTTCCATTGTAATCTCTTAAATACATATTTTTGATAAGGAAATATTTTACAATGACAACATGATATTCATTTCATTAGGCAGTTATGACAGACAGCATCATTTACACGATTTCTTAAGTACTATTTTGATATTAAGGGTGCGGCATAACATTTTAAATATACAGACAAATTCATAAATGTTGTTGTTTTGCATACACCTCGGGTTTTTACATAAACTGTATATTAAAAATTGTGATGACAATATTGTTGATAAAATCTGCTGGTATCATGTTTTCCCTTGATCTGTGTTGAGAAGTAATATCATATAACTGTCCGACATCATGATACTGGAGCACGCGTGAAAAGCAACAAGAAAAGAATAACTATATAACATTTGATACAGAGTTGGGCTGACAATGTCCATCACATTTTCTATGGTTATCTGTTGAGGTGTAAAGACGGAGTTCACTTAAAATATTTATCAACAGCAAATGCCAGAGGCGCATGTGCCACATCATTATTAGCGTCAATGTTCTGAATGACTGATTAATAACTATCGTCGTTTTCTTTACAAAATGTGTTTGGTGGTAATTTTCTGTTTAGGATGACATGCAACGAACAAAACGACAAACTCCGGTATGGCCTCCGGCAAAGAATAATTACATTTATCAGAGTAGATCGCGACAGCAATAATAAACGTGACGAGACTGTACTGAAAGAAAAAGTATACATGTATGTATAGGTAAGAGCACGATGACCTGGTGTCTGTCTAATCGTTGAAATGGTTAGTGAGAGCGCGCCGAGGACTCCAGCTAACCATTTCAACGATAAGACATCAGAGTCCAAGTATTCTAACCTATTAAAATTATGACCAACATTCAAAAAATCTTCGCACTAATATGTTTAAACAACTTTTTGGTTACCTTGTTAGATATTAAAGAATTATATGCTTAACTGCGAAAACACTGGTTGAGTCGCCACTTGGCACCTGCATCTCTCTTTGGCGGTTCTGGTTATGGAAAGCACGTTTCAGGGCAAGTGTACAGTTCATACTGGACTAACTCGAGAGCATTTATCAGTCACATGAATATTATTTGCCAATGTTGCTGGGGCTATAATGAACAAACATAGCTCTGATCAAGAAGGGAGGAGCAAACTGAACAAATCACAAATATCCACGGACTTGGCGGGTTCGAATCCTCCTGGCGACACACGTTATTCGTGAAACTGATCTGGCATCAAGGTAAAAAAAATGGGAAAAGAACTTCTGTGATTACCAAGTGGTGTTTAACCAACATGTGCACGGGTCAAAGACTTACAGCATGGTTGACAAGACCATACATAGATCATATTAAATGTGAACCTCCAACCAAAATAATTTCAAGTGTTGTGCCCTACGACAAGTGGGGCGGTCGTATAGCCTAGTGGTTAAAGCGTTCGCTCGTCACGCTGAGGACCCGGGTCCTATTCCCCACATGGGTACATTGTGTGAAGCCCATTTACGGTGTCCCCCGCCGTGATATTGCTGGAATATTGCTAAAAGCGGCATGTAACCATACTCATTCACTCACTCACTCACCTTCAACAAGTGTATCACCATGATCTTGACTGCCGACAATAAGCGTTCTTGAACATTGTAGTCATTTCCCTATAAGCATGTGTCGTGTACATTTCACTGCCGGTGTGTTTTGTATCTATCTAATTTAATTGAGCTGAATCCAAAATGAAATCCAATGATTTTGTCAGTTCTGTGTGTTCACCAGCGTAGCGTTTGCCGCGTTCATGTGTTCCATCTAAATCATTTATACTATCCTGAATACAGTTACAAAGACATCCTGATGTCAACTTCCATAATCTCTTAATCACCCATCGCAATAGAAACATAAGTTATACAGATGTATTTCGAAATAAAGCTGACAGTAGGAACGCAACAATTTGAAAGGTTATCCAGACAAGTATATTCACACAATGGCCGGTATCTGGAAGGCATACTAACTCATTGTAACACAACAATATCGAGATACGACACATGGAGATCGTCTCAATTTTCACTGGTAATGCAAAAATCCTTTCAACCCATTACCGTTTGTCTGGGCTCAACAATTTCACGTTTGACTAAACATTGAATTTCTAAATACAACCCTTCCCCATTTTTTTTCTTTTCTTTGAAAACGTATTGACTATAAAGGTAGTGGACAGAATTCTGTCGCGGATAATGATAAAACTTTGAATAAGACGCCTTGTACTCACGCCCTGTACTCTCGGTGTAGTGAGACCTAGCCGGTCCACATTGGCCTACAACTCTCGCAATTAATCACATCTGTCCTGTTGTGGACGTTCGAAGGTAGGTGTTGGTTTGTTTGTTTGTTGTTTAACGCCGCACTCAGTAATATTCCAGGTTTATGACGGTGGTCTGTAAATAATCGTTTCTGGACCAGACAATACAGTCATTAACATTATGAGCATCGATCTACTCAATTGGGATACGATGACATGCATCAACGTCAGCGATCCTGACCAATCGATCCCGTGGCCTCCTACGACAGGTGTTGTTTTGAACGGACGTCGTGAGTCCCCACAGGAAATGCCAAGACAGTTGGCGCTTGTGTTCCTGGTCATTCTGAACCATTGGTCGGCCGATGTTTTACATCATTCTTGCATTTTATTTGAATACAGTAATTATTGAAAATAATTGTTTCTAATTACAAGAAACTGGATTATGTAATTATTGTCGACTTAGACTATTGATACCAAACACCGAAACGACATACACAAATTCCACGTGTTTTCAGAGACGGTTAAAACATAAATGTTGAAGAGTATTGGGAAATTAATTACACTGTAGATGGTGGTAAGTAAAGCATGTACATTCCTGCTGAACCTTTGTTTGGAAATTTGCATAAGGAATGGTGCATTGAGCTAAGGGTTAATGTGTACCAAGCTAGGACTGTGTCCGAACTTTTTATAGCTTTTGCATTTTATGGGGAAAACTGTAAAGATTGTCAACTTTTACCTGTAGGACACATCAGTATTTTGATATTTTAAATTTCTTATTATTGGCACCTTATTTATTTTCACTGGTTTGTAACATTGTACATGTATTTAAATTGTATAACGTCCGTGATAGTTCCGTTGCATTAATTGTTTCGAAATAAATGTTTTACACAATATCGTTAGAATTTAATTTTAATGAAACAATTAGGTTTCTTTTAGCTTTAATTCCTAGGAGTATTTTGAATACAAACACTACTGACTTTTGAAAAAAAATAGTGATTATTACTTCGTCGTCTGTTGAACATGTGAGGTTAATGTATTCATGAATCGATTGTACTCATGAGGCCATGCCCGGCCCCACGTGTCATCATGGCCGAGTGACCCCCATCTCTACAGGACCGTACACCGCAACCCCTCAGTACAAAAACAGTTAGATTCCCCTTTATACAGAGTACTTGACCTTGACATCATTGGTGTAGAAAATAGAATTTTCCATAGATGATCGAGAATCTGAGCGATAAAATATATGTATAACATTAAACGCCTGTGACCTACCGCTCACTTGAGGATCTCAGACGGTGTTCTGTAGTGTATGACACAGGAGGTGTTATATGGTAGTTTTTAACCAAGCAACAAATCACACATAAAAGTGAGTATTTTTCATCTAATTCTTTAATCAATTTAGTGTGTCTTTGGATGTTTATTATTAAACATTTCTATGTAGCCTTATGTGATATAAAAAAGTCCAGAAACAATTCCAGTCCTTTGACTTTTAGCCAATCTGTGTTTGTGTTATACAGCCACCCAAAGGTAACAGCGAAGCTGCAAAGTCATATAACAACGGATAAGCATAACAGCATACCGGGTATCAATTAACTGTTCGTGTTTCTGTAAAACTAAATAAGAAAGATAGAGTCACAGCACAAATAAGTAGAGTCCGCTAGTAATGTTTGCAGAAGTATGGAAGCGTAGTAGGGCACGGTGAAATTTTTCTTGTCAAAGTATCTTCTACGTATGACTTAGTATCTCCTTCGTAGGACGTACTATCCCCTACGTATGACTTAGTATCTCCTACGTATGACTTAGTATCTCCTACGTAGGAGATAGTAAATCCTACGTAGGAGATACTAAGTCCTACGTATGAGATAGTAATTCTAGGCCATACTAAGTCCTACGTAAGAGATAGTAAGTCCTGCGTAGGAGATACTAAGTCCTACGTATGAGATAGTAATTCTAGGCCATACTAAGTCCTACGTAAGAGATAGTAAGTCCTACGTAGGAGATAGTAAGTCCTACATAGGAGATACTAAGTCCTACGTAGGGGATACTAAGTCCTACGTAGGATATACTAAGTCCTACGTAGAAGATACTGAGTCCTACGTAGGATATACTAAGTCCTACGTAGAAGATACTGAGTCCTACGTAGGAGATACTTAGACAAAAAAAAATCACCGTGGCCCCTCTACGCTTCCGTTCAGAAGGCATTGTTCATCTTGGATTACGTTATCTTAATAATAATAATAATAATGTGTGACAACACTGACTGTCGTCTGTTTTCCTTGAATTGTACTCATAGGCCGTCAGTGAAAAAAAGTCGTTCTTAAACTAAACTTAGTTTTCTGAATTGTTGAAACAATTAACTGCTTTCCCCCAGATTTCCGTTTTCGGGCAAAGAGTACAGAGAAATTGACTACATGTAAATTCGACACAAGACAAATTTTAACTCGCAAGTGTTAATGTGGAATAAGTGTTTCTTATTGAGAAGTTGAGCCTTGAGATATTTTGACAATATGTTATATAGCAAATTAATAGAGCATATTACGTTGATATATCTGTCATTGCCTAGCCACGTATGCAACCATAACACGCCGGACCAGAGCAAGAAGTTATAATAAAGTTCTCAAGAGACATTAAACAGCATGATGTGTTCCAGTATTTACCCTGTTTCGAGAAGTATGCCACTCAAACTGCCTTGAGCGTCCGATCGTCCCAACAAAAGGGATTCACATGGTTTAGGTTATATCACCCATTCTACTGACCCATGTTACCTGTCATAGAAATATACTGACATCATCACTCTGGCCGTGACATCAAACAGTCCATTTACTACTGCGGACATATACTTACCGACAAAAGAAAAGCGAATACCATACATGTTGGCTAATATATGAAGAATTACTCATATCAAGAGACATTAGATTGGTTCGATGCTCAAACGAACATACTGTTATGATGTGTGAACCGACACTTATGGCCGCATCACAGCTGATGTCATAGATCCATGCACCATTTGTCTTGTGCAGGATTAGTGTGTAAAGTTTGAAAATCACGTGCAGCTTATCATGATAAGTATAAGGGCACTGTTGTAACACTTGACTGATTGTTAGTTCTTACATTAAGTGGTGCACATTGGAAACATCTCTCCTCAACGCACATACTCCTGTATATGTTAATATATTTCAATAGTTCGCGTGTTTTTTTTGGCGGTGAGTATATAACTCGTTTAACAACACATTCGTGGATCCAGAGCGGACGTCCTTTTGAAAACCAAATGAGGCATGTTGTAGGATGTAACATTGACTGAAAGGGAATTTTGTCATTTTGGACCACTCCTTTTAAAAAATGTTGGATCCGCCCTTGCAATACTTAGTCATATGCATCGTGAAGTAGTGAACAAGAGAACTCCAAATATTGTATCAGCTAGAGATGAGCAACCTCATTCAAATATTTTGAAACATTTATTGAACAGATTTGTATATGCATTCGGCACACACCGCACACCACGGAAGAGGGAAGATTTGCCTCGGATTTATTTCATTAGATATAGTGTCCCCACTATGCCTACTATTTTGTATTTAAACATTAAGGGATTGATGATGTTGTTGAGGTGAGGTGAAGTAAAATGGGGCTTAGCGTCGCGTCCAAGATTACTGCACTTATGTAGCGACGTCCATGCACATGTGTGGTTGTGGCTGCTTGTACTAGTCCGGGGGGCGGTCGGGTAGCCTAGTGGTTAAAGCGTTCGCTCGTCAAGCCGAAGACCCGGGTTCGATTCCCGACATGGGTACAATGTGTGAAGCCCATTTCTGGTGTCCCCCGCCGTGATATTGCTGGAATATTGCTAAAAGCGCCGTAAAACCATACTCACTCACTCACTCACTCACTCACTCACTCACTAGTCCGGACTGATGCCGAATTTATAGTGCTAGCCCTCCGAGATACCATTCCGCAGTTTAATATGAATACCCCACTCAGACACAGTATACTCAGAGCCAGCCAGTCCTTGTTTTAGGCCCTTAATGCCGAGCGCCAGGCAGGGTAACAAGTACCATCTTTTAACGTCTTTTGGTATGACGCGGCCGGGGATCTACCACTAGACCACGGAGGCGGTCTTTATGATAACTGTACCTACATCTTCCTAACTTTGTAATGTCAAAGTTAAAACAAGCATTAAATAAATAACGTTCATCCTCCGAAAGATCTGATTCCAATACACGTAGTAAGCCTTTTGGTGATCTGACTGACTGGATGTGATGCTTTCCGCGCTATGATGCTTGTGAATGTATCCCATTAACCCATTATCCCCCTATTGTTATCACCTGAAACTCCCACCAAAACCCCAACCCTTTCCCCACTCCCCGATTTGTTCACAGCGGGTGAACCGAAGATCATTCATAAGTATATTTACACATACAGGTGTGTGTTATAGTCAGATGGTCATAAGTAGGCCTTATTGAAGTAAGTCGGGCGTTAGGTTAGTCTCTGGTGATGACGGTAGATAAACCAGTATTATAGAAGCGTCGTTAATGGTCCCATGATTCATGTTCACCATAATAATATTGTGTTTCAATAGGCTCGCTCGACGGTGAGACTTGAACATTCAGTGACAAGGATCACACATTAATGTATGATATCCATTGATACATTTACAGAGAACGACCGTGTTTCAGTAGTAACAACGTCGTTTAACCCTTTGACTACGTATCGCGCAGGAAGCAGGGATTTTGCCTGCCCTGCTTCTGCAATAGTATGTTAATTACCATTGGATTTAAGGTCGACATGTTCCGAATGACAGAATCACCCCCCGAGTCTCCATATAAGCTCAGTGGCACTCATCAAATATGCTGAGTTAACCACAAAAGAAATAACTTCTTTGAGAGGCATTTAGAAACTAGAATACTATGTGAGGAAAAGACATATGGATGAACACCTTATGAGCGATGGTTCAGTGTAGGTTTTAACAACGTTATCAAGGGATGGTAGGGATGAGAAGTCGTCTTTACTTACTTACTTACTTACTTTGGAGATTTAACGTGCGCTTTCCGACTGATGCGTATTTCGCACACGGGC